CTCACCTCAGCCTCCCAAAGGCACGGGATTACAGGCTGAGCCACCGAGCCCGGCTGCCTTAGGTTTCTTAAAGCTGCTGTCTATGGGTGAAAGATACTGTGTCTAGCTCATGTTTTTCTTTATCATTTTTTCCCAATGAAGAAAAGAATTAAGTGTTTGATTATGAATAAGAACCAGAAAGCATTTGAAACTCCGATGATTTAATGGCTTATTTAGAGGGGATTTATTTAGCCCATAAACTTAAAACAGCTATGTACATATATGAAATGGATCTTCAAGAGCCAGAAACAGAGCTTGAACACCAGGTTGTTCTTTGAGTATTCCCCTTCCTATGTGAAAAATATATTCTTGTTTGAACATAGGGTATCACTGAGGTCAATATTCACTTGTGTAATATGTATGTTATATTATGTGCTTGTAAAGGTTGAGGGTGAGCTGAATCTGGATGGTTTTTAAAATTTGATATTAAATTTTTTAATACTTCAAAAATATTGTCACTTTATACTAAATCTTGGGGGCCTTTCCTTTGAAGTGCTTTGCGTCTGAGCTTTCTTAGAATATTTGGTGGTGAGGAGGGGAGGGTAGGGTGGGGTGGGGGAACTTGTTTGCCCAAAAATATTGATTAAGTCTTTTAATCCTACTCTCTTTATCAACGTGTACAAAACCCTTTCATACAAATCCCATGTGTGTTCAATTGGTTCTTAGCCTGTCATCGATCACGTAGGGCTTATTGTGGGCCGGAGTCCAGTTCCAGCAGGTCAGGGTTTCCTGAAGAAGGAATGGCATCAACGCAGGAGAAAACTTGTACACAGACCCAATGCTTATGTGGGACTGCTTGTTTATTGCCAACAAGGTTTCAGTATATATGGTTTTTTATTACATAACTTCTATAACTTTTAAGCGATACACATGAAAGAATCCTCCCCGACACCATTCAAATTTTCCATGACCCACAAAATGTTCTTCTCATTCTACAATTAAATGGACAGTTATGTGCGGTCTTTTACGTATTCCTTTCATGTCTAAGCAATACAATCATTTTCCTTACAACTATAAAACAACAAACTCACTATGTACCTAGTCTTTCAAAACTAAATGCACTTACAACAAACCCATTACACCCTGGTTAAATATCTATGGCCTTTCAAAATCAAACTTAAACCTTCTATTAAAACTAATATCTAATCTTTTCCTAAAAATCATGTAATAAAAGTCAACCTGTTATATATTTAACTATGGCCAAGTATACTCTAGCAAATGTTTTTTGTTACAAAGAACTAAACTTTTATTTGTGTAGCTATAGAAAAATCAATTTCCAGAACAATGACATTTCCTGGGATTCTGCCAGTACAAACTGCACAGCAATCTACAATCAAGACTAAATGGTTCCAGTTTACCTCTAAGCAGCACATGATATCTATCGTTTTCATCTACAATACCTTGGCAGGGGAAGTGGGTTTCTGCTTGTACACCTGCAGGCCAACTTCCAGGGCTCCTGTAATGCCAGCCCCAGTTTCCTAACATAATGTTGAGAGTTTCCTTTAAGGGGGTAAAATTTTGTCTAGTAATCTAATGGGGATTTCTGGACGTGACACTACAAGACGGACTATGATTTTTCCTCTCTCTGCTGTAACCACGAAGTGAGTAAATAAAATTCTCCGCAATCCCCTGGAGCCTATTTTCTATGATTGATTAGCAAGCTATAGTTTCTCAACCCCTAGGGTTTCTACTGGCAGCATGACTAAGCAAAGCAGGAGAAGCAGAACCACCACTTTTCCGGATGTGCCATGCCATCCGGGGTCATCAGTCTCCTTGACCATGTCAGAAGGCAGACCTTTGCAGTTGGTCCCCATCATCTCCCCCTTTTTTATTTTTTAAAAGGAAGCTATGGAATTCCATAGAGAGCTGATTGATGTTATTCTTTAACATTCGGAAAATGACTGGAAGTAAACACAGAAGGAGTAGAATTATTACTCCACAGATTCTAACATTGATAAGAAGGGAAAGCAGAAACTTGGCTCACCATAGAGGAAAAATTGTCGAAAAAGGATTGAGCTAGTTGACTAGAGCTGAAATCCTTTTCGACTTGACCTATGTCATGAATTTCTTGGTGTAATTTAGAGAGATCAATGCTTAGGTCCGAATGATTCCAAACACCTGAAATGTGATTTTTTATTTGATCCCAGGTATGAACGGACTCATTTACCTGAAGGGGGATCATACAGATCCATTTAAAGTCTGTGTGACACCTTAAAGCCAATTTGATCTTTAGTATAACTAATTCTTTTCCCACAGCAAGTATGGCTTCTTCGAGGGCATTAACTTTATTCTCTAATTTTTAGCTAATGATTTCTTGAGTGGCAAGAGCCAGAAAGACATTTTTTGCAAGTTGGTCTGCAAATGATGCAGTATGAACCTCCCTCGCCAACGCTACAGCCGAAACCGAAAGAGATGTGGCTATAGCAATTAAAGATGCAATGCCTAAAATTAATGTAGCCACAAACCGCTTGTGGCAGTTTAAAAGGGAGTTAACATCATATAAAACTTTTAGGTCACAGTTCTCAAACCATGGAGTTGATAATTTTACGGTCATCATTAAATAAGGAGGTTGTTTTACGATCATAAGCCCTTTATATGAATCAGAAAAAATTAGACAGTAAGTTTACAATTCTTACAAGTTTGATATTTTTGTCCATCAAAAGAGATTATTAAAGATTTATAATCAGTGGTTACTAAAAAGGCATAAGGAGATTGTAAGCAAGCTTTAACTTCATAAACAGTCTGTCCCGTTGGATGGTATAAAATTATGGGTTTAGTTGCTGCCAAGGCATTCCATACATTAGGTTGTATGATTTGTTTTCTCCCATTCTCTACTGACAGCACTGGGGGTACCCATCCATTAATATTCCATCTAGTGACTGGCAAAGGTGAAGGCAAGTATGAACTATCCCAGGGGTGATTGGCACTTGCTTCTAAATATCCCCTATAATCTGCGGTTGGGTCATCACAGCTCCAGTCGCTTAAAGAAATGTTCATATTTGGGATAGGAATAGTAACCTTAAAAGAATACATGCATTCCCTCTAATAAGGGTACCTGATCCTAGGATGTATTTTAATCCAATTGTGATTAGTTTTTGCCTCTGGTTTTTGAGCACAAGTAGGATATTTAGAAGAATGGGCTAATGGCGACTTTTTAGGTTCAGCATCTCCAGGCATTAACACAACTAACGACCAGACATTGTGCAGATTTGGTTTGCCTGGTTGTGAATTAGGGGAATCGGTTATCACTCCTTTTATTCTGGGTGGTAAGCATCCAGGAATAATGGGAGCTCGCTTCAAAGTCAAAGTAAATAAGTTAGGAAGAGTAAAGCAGATTGGAGCAAAACGAGAAGTGCCAGAAAAAGAAAAATTATGATATATAACTTGTAATTTGTGAGGAAAAAATCTGAAGACTTCCCATAAGGGAATATTATTAGTAAAAACTGTCCCATGTAACAGGTTGAAATATCGGAGGGTTTGGGATATAAACCCAATAAGATTTCTCCGAATAAATGCAATCCACCTGGCACACTATAATGACCAGCATAGTAACAAAAACAGTAGAGGGAGTAAGAGAAGCATTCTGAGACCGAACCAAGTCCTCTGCGCCACGCATCAGCACTTTTAACTGTCCCCAAGTGGAGTGGTTTGCAGGTTCTCGTGGAAGCAGCGGAACACAGTCGCAATCGTGGAGGCCTCTCGGGAGCAAGACGTTTTAGCTGAGGAACGAGGGTTTCTTCTTCCTCGTTGTCAGTTGAGCTTAGGCGGTTTTGTTCCTGCTTTTGGGAGTTGAACTGTGGTGGGGGTGGGAGGCCGGACATGCCTAATCAGGCGATCCGGAACCCAAATAGGTGAAGATGA